AAACATTTTAGCTACAGGAATTGAAAGATGAAAGGGTGTCCAATGCCATCTGTTACATATGCGCTTTGCTCCGATTCCAACACCGGAAAGTGTAAAGACCAATTTATCAGACTCTTGAAATCAGGATCAGGGTCACTCGGTGGAAAACCAGCACACACACCAAGGTGTGCAAGCAGGTGCGGACACAGGCTCAGGGTGCACCCATGTTATGGTGGTTTCTATAGGAGCCAATCCAGAAAGAGCATGGAAAAGACACCGCCACATCTCTATATGTGGTCAGGTGAGTCCATAGATTCCTCATCTTGTACATCAACTCTAAACACCTGCTCAGACACGCCACCCAAGGCTCAGGCAGAGAAGGGCGTGCCGTTCAGATTGGATAATGATTTTGGGTTTTCTGTTCTTTCTTTGTGCTAGCTGTATGACTGAAGCTACCGCAGGCAGACGTCGAACTCAGTTGCAAGTGACCTGATTTCTCTCCTCTCTGAGGATGTCTTTATCAGTTCAGGAGATTGGAGTAAAGGACATGCTTCGGATCAGATATCATCAGACAGTTCATTAAAGCAGATTTATTAGAGATGCCAGACCAGGTGCCCAAAGGGTATGTGGGTGGTCGGTAGCATCAAAACCAATAGCACCGAACTGAATGGGAAAAGATTTCCTATATTATTGCTCCAATTTTTTTTTTTTTTTGGGGAGCGGAAAGTATGTGCCTTCTTTTCTGTGCATTGGCCTCATCTATTGTGTCTGTATTAGATTGTATTCATCAACCTAATACAGATACAATAGAACAATGTACAATACAATGTACACCAATAAAACCACTGTTACACTCCATTCCACTCCACTGCTACAAATCCATCATGTTTAAAGCCATCCTCCCCAACTGTACCACTGTACGAAATTAATTCACTAATCTTACAGGAGAGGATTCAGACCTGTAAACAACAAAATTGGGGACCCTCAGCCAGATGTGAGGGACAAGTTAAAATCTTTACTCCAGATTTGTGTTGCCAGGCAACCTGATCACCTTGGTCCCTAGACAGCCCACAGGGACTCAGCACCCCACAAAGTTACAAAGATAAGAATGTAGGGCTTCCCTGGTGGCACAGTGGTTGAGAGTCCACCTGCCTATGCAGGGGACACAGGTTCGTGCCCTGGTCCGGGAAGATCCCACATGCCGCGGAGTGGCTAGGCCCGTGAGCCATGGCCTCTGAGCCTGCGTGTCCGGAGCCTGTGCTCCGCAACGGGAGAGGCCACGACAGTGAGAGGTCTGCGAACGGCAAAAAAAAAAAAAAAAGAAAAAAAAAAAGTAAATACACCTAAATGGAGAATTCCACTTCTGCTTATGATTAGCTTTCCATCTGATGGCCCACATACACATGGAAACAAAACCAAATGTTTTTACCAATCTAGTTAAATGTGAAAAATCCAAATGATGGTCATTAATAATAATTAAAAATTTACAGTAACAAGCACTTCAAATGTGCCAGGTACTAGGTATTTTAGATAACTGTTGCAATAGAACTTTGTGGTAGGTGGTATTACCCCCATTTCACAGATGCAGAAAACAAGGCACAGAGGTATTAAGTCAGTACTATGTACCAGGGTTGGTATTTGAACCCAGCAGTCTACATTTGGAGGCCATTTTTTAACCAGTGCACTGAGCTACCCAAAGCCCGAGGCAGGGAGACCAGCACATTTGTAGGTAGGGTTCTGCAAACCCAGTGGCTGTCTTCTCAGATGCCTTTACACTGAGGCCTAGGGAGCTCTTTACAGACTAAACTGAACTGATGTTAGCAGCTAGTGGTGACATGGATTAGTCCCCACTCTCTTGCATGTTTATGAATCACTTGGCAGAGTGAACCATGTTATTTGTCTGCAAAAAGGGGGGCAGGGAGAGTGTGTGCATGTGAATCATAGGGGCCAGTTACAAGAGGGGAGGCAGCGTGCCACAATGGTTTTCTGGAGCTGGAGCATCCTGGGCCCAAGGATGCTATTACTTTCACTCCTGGATGTGTGAACTTGGGGAATTTATTTTAAGTGTCAGTGTTCCCACCTGTAAAATGGGGATAAACTCAGTACTGACTTTATGGGTTTGTTTAGTGGGTTCAGTGAATTTATGCATGATAATCAGAAGCTATCTACACAACAATCATCATGTCTGGAGGATTAAAAAATTCCACTGATAAGAACTTTCCTTAGTCATATTCTGAGACTGCTCACCATAAACACTCCACAAGCCAAGCGTACTCAGCAGAGAACGAGCCTCCGAATACCAACAATGAATAGCCATGAACAAGCTTCACAGTTAATACTAAAATGCATTCCTAACCTTAATAATCCTTTCTTTGCAAAAGTTTTCCTGGTTCTTAAAAGTGTTTAATGTTTGCTAATCAATTAAACATTAATGTTTCTAATGAGGAATTTCTAAAACTAACACACAGATTTTTTTAAAGTTCTCTAATCAATCTCTGACAGATTTAGAATGGAATTCACGAAACTGGGCCTTTGCACCTGCCCTTTGATAATATGCTCCATCACATGGCCGTTTTTTGAGAACCATTTCCCTCTTCTCTCCAAATTAAAGAATTGGTGCCTGCAGGTGGTAAAGAAAGGTCGGTGGGACCAGTCACAGGGGCTGGCAAACCAACCCAGCTTCTCCTATGAACTTGAGGAGGCAGTAAAACAAACTTCACGGTAAGGAAAGTGAACATATTATGTCGTTTTCCATTTCTGAATAGAATCTGAACTAGATTGTGGCCAACATATGACACCAACTTCCGAGTGTGGGAATAACAGGATTTCAAGATTCACCGCTTCTGGCAGCGTTTCTTGGGTTATATTTAGCAATCTTAAATTGCCTATTTTTTTTTCATTTTTCTTTTCTTTCTTTTTCTTTCTTTCTTTCTTTTTTTTTTTTTAAAGAAAAGAACAGGAGGAAGAGCCCGGGCCTAAAGGAAGTGAGTTTCCTGACATGCGGCTCTTAAACAGCCACACCACCCACCCTAAGGCCGGGAATGGTAAGCGCGCGCGCTGTGCGGGTGGAATGCACATTTTAGGGGGCTGTGTCGGCGAACGGCGGGCCCCTACAACTTCTCATTCGCGTGCTCTGACGACCAGCCAGACAAAGACCGCAAGTTCTCCGGCCCAAAGCTCCAGACAGGCAGAGACCGAATCTTCCCGAAGTAGGCCCACTCCCGGCCCCAGGGGCCCGCATCCGCCGCGGAGAGGGGGCCCAGGGATCTCTCCGCGTGATCCGGCGTGCTCCTGCCCGACCGGCTCCTGCTCCGGCCCTGCACCTCTCTGGGCTGCGGCCAGACCCCGGCCCCTCCCGGGCCCCGCGGCTGCAGGCCCACGCACCCCGCGCGCCCCCACCCCGTCCGGCGGAGGGGCTGTGCCCGGTCCCCCGCGGGCCCCTTAGACCCCGCCCCCGCGGCCCCCGGCCTGCCCCAGATACCCACCCGGGTCCCGCACCGGGGGCCGGATTCGCGCCGGCTCCCGGATCCGCCGCCGCCGCCACTGCCGCCGCCGCCTGTGAGGAGCGGTGGGGCGGGGACGCGAGGCGGGGGCCGG